TATGTAGTCCACTCTTCCCCGACTCAATCCTTTAGTAAACAAATCTGCCCACTGGTTCCCTGTGTTAACATATGCAGTATCTATCACTCCACTTAGCACCTTCTCTCTAACAAAGTGACAGTCAACCTCTATGTGCTTGGTTCTCTCATGAAACACCGGATTAGAGGAAATATGAACTACAGCCTGATTGTCACAGTAGAACTTCATTGGAGTATCAATGGTGTATCCCATCTTTTGTAGAAGATTCCTCAGCCACACTAATTCACAAGTAGTATGTGCCATAGCTCTATATTCTACCTCTGCACTGCTTCTTTCCACAACTGTATGCTTCTTACTTTTCCATGTCACCAGATTACCCCCAAGAAAAGTGCAATAGCCTATGGTAGATCTCCTATCAGATATAGAACCGGCCCAATCAGTATCAGTATATCCTTTTATTTCAAGTTTTTCACCACTTCTGTATATCAAACCACGACCAAGAGCCCCCTTTAAATACCTCACAATTCTTAGAACCACATCCCAATGTGGAACCAGAGGTTTCTACATGAACTGACTTACCACACTAACTGCAAATGAAATGTCTGGCCGGGTGATAGTTAGGTAGTTCAGTTTACCTACAAGTCGCCGATATCTGCCAGGGTCTTCAAACACTTCGCCCATATCACTGCTCATCTTAGTGTTTGTTTCCGTAGGTGTTTCAACTAGTTTAGCACCTAACAAACTTGTTTCTTCAAGTAGATCAAGAACATATTTCCTCTAACACAAGTTAATACCATGCTTAGACCTTGTTACTTCTATCCCCAAGAAATATTTCAATCTACTAAGGTCCTTTGTCTGAAAATGTTCCTGCAGAAAAGCCTTCAACCTGTCAATGCCCATTTTATCATTTCTGGTAATGACAATATCATCTACATACACCACCAATAGGATCTTCCCTACCTGAGAGTCATGACTGAAGACTGAATGGTCAACTTGGCACTGTTTCATACCAAACTTATTTACCACCTCACTGAATCTACCAAACCATGCTCGAGGAGACTGTTTAAGCCCATAAATGGYCKTCWWTAGTYKGCAYACCTTACCATCCTCCCCCTGAGCAACAAACCCCGGTGGTTGCTCCATATAGACCTCCTTGAGCAGATCACCATGCAAGAAGGCATTCTTGATACCAAGCTGATAGAGGGGCCAATCATACATCGCAGCAAGAGAAATCACAACACGAATTGAACCAATCTTAGCAACCGGGGAGAAATTCTCTGTGTAATCAATACCATAGGTTTGGGAATACCCTTTGGCAACCAGTTTAGCTTTTAGCCGCTCTACACTACCATCAGGTAAGTACTTAACAGTATAAACCCACTTACAACCAACAACATGCTTACTAGAAGGAAGAGTGGTGAGTTCCTATGTATGATTATGAGCTAAAGCTGAGAGTTCTTCCATCGCACGACGCCATCTTGGAGAGGCAAGGGCTTCCTAGACATCATTAGCGATAACAATAGAGGATAACAGGGAGATAAACTGGCGATTGGAAGAAGAAAGATGAGTGAGAGAGACATAATTAGAAATAGGATGAAGGGTACAACTACGTTTACCTTTCCTCAAGGCAATGGGAAGATCAAGATCAGATACTGGGGTTGGGGCTGGTGTGGGAACAACTGCCGGATCTGTCGACGATGATGGAGCTGGAGGAGGAGCTGGTACATGTGGGTGATGTGTATACACGTGACGGATAGGTGGTCGTTCAACAGGCGGTGGCACCAGAGGCAAGGACTTGGTCACAACTGGAACAAGAGGAATAGAATCCACAACTAGAAGAGGAAGGGGAGGAGGTGATGAAGAGGAAGAAACATCACCGGACCCTAAGAAAAATGGAGTAGACTCAAAGAAGGTAACATCGGCACACACAAAGGAACGTCGAGAGCTAGGATGATAACACTTATACCCTTTCTGAGTCCGAGAATAGCCAAGGAAGATGCACTTAATAGATCGTGCATCTAACTTGTCCCTTCCTGGCCCCAGATTATGAACGAAGCAGACACACCCAAAAACCCAAGGAGAAAGAGGAAATGGAGACAAGGTAGGAAACAATGTGGTGAATGGAGAATGACCATCAAGGATAGACGTGGGCATCCGGTTAATCAAGAAGCAAGAAGTAAGCACTGCATCACTCCAAAAAGGTTTGGGGACATTCATGTGATGCATGAGGAATCGGGCTGTTTCTAAAAGATGGCGATTCTTTCTCTCAGCCACCCCATTTTGTTGTGGGGTGTAGGTACATGAAGTCTGATGGATAATGCCATGTTGGTTTAGGTATTCTTGAAATGATAAAGAGAAATATTCACGGCCATTATCAGAACGGAAAATTTTAATGTGAACACCAAATTGGTTGCAAATCTCAACATAAAATTTTTGGAAAATGGTAAACAATTCACTCATTTCTTTCATTAAATTATAGCCACGTCATCCTTGAATAACCATCAACAAAAATGACAAAATATTTATATCCATTGTATGACATTACTTTATAAGGATCCCAAACATCTGAATGAACCAAAGAAAAAGGACTCGACATATGGTTATCAACTCGAGGGCTAAAGGGAACATGATGATGTTTCCCCAACTGACACGACTCACAATTCATAACAGAAAGATGATTCAACGAAGGAACCAAAGACTTCAAAACTTTCAGTGAAGGATGACCAAATCGATAGTGCCACTAGAGAGGAGAAAGAGATGACTAAAGAGCTGTTGACGTACTTCCACCACCATCAAGATAATACAATCCACCAGCTTCATGCCCTCCACTAATCTTCATCCCCGTCTTGAGATCCTAAAAAACACACGAAGAAGGGTAAAAGGTAATAGAACAATTAAGAGACTTGGTCAACTTACTAACTGACATAAGATTAAAAGGAAATTTAGGGACATACAAAACTGAGGATAAGTGTACAAGGTCCATGTTAACATTACCAATACCACAAATGGAGGATGTGGAACCATTAGCAAGGGTTCACTACTACCACTCCGGTTATATGTAGGTCCACTACTACCACTCCGGCCATATGCCAATCCACTGCTACCACTACGGCCAAACTGAGCTCCTCGAATGGGGAATGGAGACTCCTTAAAGGCAGAATTGTGCGCAGCCCTACAAGGTGTACAGAATGCAAGAGAGTTAGGATTGGAAAATTTGGTGATAGAAGGGGACTCCAAGGTGGTGGCGGGTTGGCTAAAAAACCCAGATTCAGTGATCTGGGCTTACAGAAATGAATTGAAGAAATTCAAATGGTTAACTCAGCAGATGGAGTCATGGAGGTAACTATACAATGGGTGGGGAGGGAGGCAAATGCTTTTGCTGATTCTCTAGCTAAACAAGGAGTAACTAGGGAACAATTGTACTGGGCCCAATTGTAACTTTATGATGTTTCTATATCAATGAGTGAGGCTGCACCTCACGCCTCATATTGGGATGCTTGTAACGAACTATTTATCATTTGTTTCTAATGAAATCAATTGAATTTTATCTATAAAAAAAATAACCATTTTATAGTATTATCCTTTTATCTGTTCACATAATCAAGCACTTAAAATGCCATCTTGGTTTCCCCAGTTATTTGTTTCTATTAGCAATACAAAATGGTTAACTTAGAAAATGAGCTGGATACAATATGGATTAGTAGATCAGTAGGTGTGCATGAGTGGTCCATTGAACTTGCCTTCTCTTGGTCTTGTTCAGATGGATTAAACCCTAGAGTGCTGACTCCTTTATTATATGGGTTCAATTTGGGCGGACCCAACTTGAGCCTGGACCGACTCAACCCCAACAATTTTACACATGCTGGGTTTAGATTTTCAGTCCTTGGGCTATGCCTAGGCCCAAAAATTTGGGTTTTTTATTTATTTTATTTTTTGGGCTGGGCCCATGCATTGCCTTTAGGTAGCTGAAACCCGTCCCAAACCCAGCCAATCTTTTCCCAACCTGAGCCTAGCCCAACTGTATAAATACATGCATGCATATATAGAAAACATATTTGCAAGCATACATACCTAAACTTATAAGCTTATGTTAAATTTTAATGTGGGTCGATTGACCAACCTGAGCCTGGACCAGGCCAACCTGGGTGCACCAAATTTCAATGCGGGCTGGGCCGGATTTGACAAATCAGACTTGACCATGGATTCGATCTGGGCTTGGGCCTTAGGCCAGGTTTGGGTCGAGTTTAAACCTGGCCCAATCCAACTGACTTGCTCCTCTACTTTATTATATCCTTGGTCACAGTTTAAAAGAACAAATAAATCAGTATAAAAATAGTACAAAATTCTGATGGCTGGTGTCTGGGAAATCCAACCAGATCAGCCATGGCCACATTAATAGAGTAGTTCAAAATCATGAAAGGAATATATTTATGGTGCATTCATGTGCAACCAGAGGAGAAAATTCAGCAAGGATAGAACTAATGTTTCTTCTTTATTGGTTTTGGTTTGTTACTTCATCCTTTTAGGCTGGGATGGAAGACAACTTACAATTTGTGGTATGGTGGCTGAATGGGGGCTAACCTCCCTGGAGGGTTGGGCTATAAGAATGACATTAGAGAAGCAAAAGATTTGGCCCAACCTATGAGTACCTCATTCACATGGATCAGGAGAACAAAATTACTCCGTCCGATTCTCTCACTGTAGAAGGGGTAGATATGTCAAAGATGAATTGGGGGCTGAAATCAATCTGGGAAAGCATTGGTTGGGGGAGTTGATAGTTCAATTTGTAAACAATTATATATTGTGCAAGTGTTGATACTTGTTGCATTATAATCTTATGTATTAATAAAATTTTTATCTGCTAATTATATGATAAAAAATGTAGCAAAAAAAAATCAGGTTCTAGGAAATCATTATCAATGTTGACAAGCAAGCTCACCAATTTAGTTATTACAGTGTAACTACAACAAAATTCCTACATGTTGTATACTATTACTAACTACTTGTCTCCTTGACTGCAGCTATGAACTTCCAGATTCACATCAGCTTCTAGAAGGGGTAAGTTATTTCTACAGTTGCTACCCTGGAAATTTGTGTTGGATTATACGTAACCAAAATAATTTGCTAATTGGTATACACTTTCTGTAACCTATATGCAGATTGACAGAAGAGAACCGGATGATCCATCTCCATACCTTCTTGCTATATGGACACCAGGTAAGAACATGATATTAGCAATCCAATGTGTTAGTTTGGCTAGTCTCCAACATAAAGGGACACACAAGTCCTACAAGGCATATTATACAGCCCATGTTATTTGAAATTGTGAAAGTTATGACAACATGCCACCAGTGCTGTGGTTTGCAGGTATCACAACATAGGACAGAAATTATATGCTTGATAAAGTGGACCATGAGCTATTTTTTGTTAAAATATGATATACATTTATTCCCAGCTGTTGTTGGTTTTAAACAGAACAAAATATTTTTATAATCACAACCAATGTTTAATATCAGGTGAAACAGCAGACTCAATTGAGCCACCCAAAGCACGCTGTATCTCCCAAGAATCTGGAAATTTATGCAATGATGCTACATGCTTTGGGTGTAACAGTAAACGAGAAGCAAGTTCCCAAACAGTCCGGGGGACAATATTGGTGAGAACCACAACCCCCATATGCAGATAATATCTACTATGGAAAATGAATCTAACTAGATTACAGATTCTTTAACTGACATTTACAATACCCCTGGACAGATACCCTGCAGAACAGCAATGAGGGGGAGTTTTCCACTTAATGGCACATACTTTCAGGTTAATGAGGTAAAAGTTATGCTCTATCCATTCAGCATCTCAGCTTTTAGACATTAAATCACTGAACCAGATGGTTTTATAACAAAATTATTATGCCTGTCAGGTGTTTGCTGACCATGATTCTAGTCTTAACCCAATTAATGTTCCCCGAGCATGGTTATGGAATCTACAGAGACGAACAGTTTACTTTGGAACATCAATACCAACAATTTTTAGAGGTAAAAAAAGCAATACAAAGTGACTTGATTGCCCAATTACAAAGTGAGATTTCAAACAACTGACTTCCAGAACAATGTTTGTGGTTTCTAGGTCTCTCAACACAAGATATTCAGAATTGCTTCTGGAAAGGTATGAACTTTGTCCTCAGTGTTAACACCATTATTGGCTGAATGCAACAACTATTGTCGTCTTACCCTTGTTTTGATAAATAAAATTATTTTATTAGAAGAAGGAGATATATAGATACAAGTATCCCATGGAGAGGTGCAAACTGTGACCTCTTCAAACAAGCAAAGCCTTTATCAAACTACCAAGGTGCCTAATACAATTGTTCCCTGTTTGCCACTCGCTTGGCTAAACTATCAGTTATAGCATTTGCTGATTTCCCCACCCATTGTATTCTAGCACACAGACTTCTTGGTAGCCACTTGAATTTCTTAAGTTCATTCTTAAAACACCATATCATAGACTCTAGGTGCTGTAGCCAACCCATGACCACCTTGGAATCCCCTTCTATTCGTACTTGTGCTACTCCTAGCTGAACAACAAGCTGTACACCTTGAAGGGCAGCTAGTAATTCTGCCCTAATGGAGTCCCCAACACCTAAGGGGCCCCAAGTAAAGAACCACATTTCCAATCTAATTACTTAGAACCCCTCCCATCCCAGAGGCACCTGGATTACCTTGACTGCTTCCATCAAAATTCAGCTTAAAAAAACCTTTAGGAGGAAGTGCCCAACTCATACACACCTCTTCTTCAAAGAGAGCTACCTGCCACTACTGCCCAATTCCTCGAAAGATCACCAAAAGAGAATTAATAAAATAAATCCAGGGATTTAAACCTCAGAATAACCCTATACAAGATTCACTCGTTCAGTTCTTGTTGGCTTCTCCTTGTCTTGGAATATCCTGCCATTCCTTTCTTCCCACACTATCCATATCATTGCTGCTTTTGCACACCTCCACATAATTCTTCCTCTTTGTTGGTGCCAAGGAAAGGTAGATGAATCAAAAAGCATGCTTACTTCTGTTGGCCTATTCCACTTGCACCCGAACATCAGGAAAAGCCATTCCCACAACTCTGCAATAAATAACAAGAAATTAGTAAATGGTAATAGTCCTCACCATGAGACTTGCAAAGAGCACCAATTGGGTAAGATACAAAGAAATGGTCTTTTCTTTTGTAGATTGTCCAAGATGTTTACTTTCCCATAGAGCACTTCCCAATAGAATGCCAAAACCTTAGGGGGAATAGGCCTTCACCAAACCTCCTAAAAAGGAAAAACTTGTTGAGATGAAGATTGACAAAGGGACTTGAAAAAGGAAGCATAAGAGAAAAGTCTAGAAGGCCGAGGTATCCAAATCCTTTTGTTTGATTTAGAGGGGTCCTGGCTAGTGTTGTAAAAGGCATGGGAAGTATACCCCTGGAAATGTGCCTCCAGGTGAGGCACCCCCGAAATGCCCTGAGGCATATGCCTCAGGTGCAAGAGATATGTGCTCATATGCTTTTTTCATGAGGCATGCTAGAGGTATAGACCTCATGCACACCTCATATAAAAAGACGAAAAAAAAAGAAAAAAAAGGAAAGGAAAGGAAAGGAAAAGAAAGGGAAGTTGGTTTTAACTAGTGGTATGCATCTTCATTCTTAATATAAAAGATTTTTATTAAAAATAAAGAAAAATGAGATCCTCCTTCCTCTTCTTCCTCCTCATCTCCCTTCACTTAAGGAGGCATTCCTTATGTTCTGGAGGTTTATGCCTCTTACGTTCTGAACTATGCCTCATGCCTCTCGGTAGTGAAATCCCTCGCGTCATCCTCTGTGTTTTAGAACATTGGTCCAGAATAACTTTATCAAGAAGGCTCAATAAGTTGGTTAGACTCTTAATCTCCCCATCCCTTAATCTCTACGAAACCCAAAATTCCAATTTGGTGCCAAAGGAATTTCTAGTGGGGAAAAGAATTTTGATACAAACTATTTTTTATACCAAGAAACAATGAATAAGGACAAAAAGAGGTCCTTCAAAGGAGCCTCTCCAACCCAAGTATCTCCCTTAAAAAGGATCGAGTTGCACATCAAACTTGACAAAGTTGGAAAATTGTGGAAGAATACTGTGAATTTCCTTCCAAGGTGTTGCCAAAGTTGCTCATGAAGATACTTTAGCATCCCACACATTGGGATGCACCATAACCACTGCCTCATGCCATAATCTCTCTCTCTCTCTCTCTCTCTCTCTCTAGGGGCCACCACCACAACCACTTCCCCCAACAAAGTTGTGTTCTTTTGACTTAGATACTCCATGCCCAAACCTCGCTCCTCTTTACTCCACTTTCCCCCAGTGCCCAAAGGAAGTCCTTCATTAACTTCTCCAGTTTCTTAGATTTCCTAGAAGGGATCCTAAATATAGATAGAAAATAGATTGGTAGGTTAGCAAGGGTGGCTCTAATCAAGGTGATTCTACCCCCTAAAGAGATGTAATTCTTCTTCCATGAGGCCAATCTCTTTCCAAACTTCTCTACAACTGGGCACTAAAATCTACTCTCCCTAGGATTTTCCCCTAACGGAAGCCCCAAGTAGGTCCTAGACCAAGTAGATATAGAACACTTAAAATCCTGTAATAGTCTCCACCTCTCTACTCTCCAAATTCATACTTGCTAATGCTACACTACTCTTTTCAAGGTTGTTCCTCAGACTGGAAATCCTTTCAAAGCTTCTATCTAACATCTTTAGATTTCTCACCTTCTCAAGGTCACCCCCTTTGTAGAGAATTAATAAGTCATTTTTTTTTATCAATAACACATTTCATTAATTAATCAGAAAAATAATTACAAAGGGGAAGATAAACTTTCTTATCTTCCAGCTGAGGCTTGAGCCCCCAAGAAATGAAAAAAGAGTTACAACTGAGCCCAAAGAATAGAATCCCTCTCCACCCCTTGTTTAGCTAACCCATCAGCAAAAGAGTTAGCTAATCTTTTCACCCAACTGACCTTGACTTCCATCTCTTGAACCATCCACCTAAATTTCCTCCTCTCATTGCTATAATTCCATAACCCACTGTTGTTTTTCTTCGGCCACCCTACCACTACCTCTGAGTCCCCTTCAATTATAAGTTTTTTTGTATTCATCTCCTTAGCTCTCTGGACTCTTTCCATATTTGCATAGATCTCAGGTCTGAGAGAATCACCCACTCCAATTGGGCCTGAGAACAGGGCTGAAACAATCCTATTCTCATCCCTAAACACACCCCCAATCCCTGAGTGTCCAGGATTCCCTCTACTATTCCCATCAAAGTTTAGTTTTAAGAAACCAGCTAGTGGAGGGGTCCAAGACAAACTCATTCCTGTTTTGGTCCAAGTGCAACTAGCAATCTCACCCCACTTCCTCAACATGTCATCTGTTGTGTAATTTGTGAACAGCTCTGAAGATTTCAGCCACCGTACAACCCTTATATGGATCATTTCTCCTAACTCTTCAGCACTTCTCTCTACTTTAGACAAGATCCTAGAGTTTCTTTCTTCCCATAAAGACCAACATACTGAAGCCCTCAGGCATCTCCACATGGTCCTACCCCTTTTTCAAACGCCACCTGAAGAAAGAAGAGGAAAAAAGACTTTGCAAGTTTGATGGAGGGTTCCAAGTACACCCAAAGAGGGAGAACGCCCACTCCCATATAAACTTTGCAAACTGGCATGACACCAGTAGGTGAAAACCAGTCTCCCCATCAGCTTTACAAAGAACATACCTGTGAGTCATTTGCAAATTGAAGATGGGTAATTTGAATTCCATCCTTGCCTATTCTCCACCCACTAGCTATATTCTCCCTGTCAGCCTTTGAGATCTTTGTACCAAGCACATCAACTATTAAGGTGAAGAGGAAGGATGAGAGAGGACCCCCTTACCTTACACCCCTAGAGGCTGGAAAGAAATCCTTTACCACTCCATTAACCAAGATAGAATAATGACAAGAGCTGATACAACCATGAATCTACTTACACCATTTTTTTCCAAGCTTCTAGTTTCTTAAGACTTGTGATAGGAAATGCTAGTCCACCAAGTCATAGGCCTTTTTTAGATCCAATTTACATACAAAGCCTTTGTTTTTATATCTTCTCATTTCCTCCAGGCACTCATTAGCAATCAAGATTTGGTCTGTAAGTTGTCTCTCTTATACAAAAGTTTCTTGGGCTTGGCTAATTGAGGGGAGACCCTGTTCCAAATAGGGAGAGCCTCACTATAACTCCAATCTCTCAGCTATTTTTGCTTACATTTCCATCAATGAATTGGTGCTTCTGAGCACCACCTAATATGATGTTCACTCTAGATTCAAAAGACCTATTCCTCTGGTTTGATGACAAGACTCTTCAACAGCATTTCGTATCCATCAATAACAATCTGCAAGTCATGCACCACTTCATTATGAGACAAACCCAATGTTATGGACGAATTCCTCGGAAAGACGTACCATCGCCGCCGGCAACAACAAGAACTTGACCCACCGCCAGATTAGATTAGATCATCTTGCTTGTTCTTATCTTATTCTATTGCTCTTATCTTATCTYGTTAGTAAGTTATCATATTAGGATTAGTTTATCTTATTATCAGATTAGGATTAGTTTATCTTGTTATCAAATTAGGATTAGTTTATCTTATTATCAGATTAGGATTAGCTTATCTTATCCTTAGCAAGATAGAATTGGAAGTCTCCCTATTCAGCAAGGAGACTCCCTA